GGTTTCCAGGCAGGCAGATAGAGGCAGAACAGGGACAGGCAGGATCAGTAACAGAAAGCAGATCTGGTAACAGACAGGTTCTCACCGGTAGGTTTGAGATGATCTGGCCCTGGTAGCTGAGCTGAACGGGGCTTATAAGCAGGTGGAAGCAGGTGAAACCAGTCTGGAGCTGATTGCAGGTGAGGTGGAGCTGAGCAGGAGAGCAGAGAGGACAGACAGGCCAGCCCCAGTGCCATGATTATTATATTTTTAATGTTACGTCGCTGGTAGTGCATAATTGGTGAAATGCTCAACTGATGAAACTACAATTTACACTGACTGCTGGGGTGGCCAGGATATTGCACAGGTTCAGCCTGGCCACCCCCTGGTGGCGCCACTGCATACAGATCATTAGAGCAGTCAAATCTGGAGCTGTTTGCTGCACGATGCTTCTGCTGCTCAGGAAGAGATAAAAACGGCTAAATTTAGCCAGAATTTGCAGAAAAAGCTTTTCTTCACAATAAGAAGAATTTGATCCTTGGTCTAAAGTAGCTCTATATCTGAACAGTGTTTTTAGTTAAACGTCAAAGCTCTACCATCAAATAAATGAAAGAAACATTCTGGCCCAAATACTGCTGGACAGCAGCAACAGGCCAGTACACAATGGAGACTATTATAGCGACCAGGCTTCAGAGACGAGTAGATCTGTAGATCATAGATCATAGATCAGTAGATCATAGATCAGTAGATCAGTAGATCAGTAGATCATAGATCATAGATCAGTAGATCATCTGCAGCAGATGAAGGAGTAACTGGTGCTTAGATATACAATGTTAAAGGTGCAGCATATAAAGGAGGGCCAAGAATGGAGCCTTGTGGAATCCCATATGATAAAGGACATTCCCAGAGGACGTCATTCGTTTTTGTTCTGTTCTGTTTTTAAGATGTTGAACAAGATCTGTTGAGAAACGCTGCTGCAGGAATTTGGCTTCTTATTCTAAATGTGTGTTTTTGGTTTTCAAACAGGAAAAGAAGGTGAAGTTTGAAGATGAGTGCAGAAAAGAAAGTAAGATCACTGAATTATCTCATAGAAACAAACTCCAGTTGCTGTTTTTCATTGCATGTTTTTCCTGTTTTACCAACAGCTTTGAAAACTGAAAAAGCAAAGCAGGAAGCTGAGGTTGCTGCAGGTAACGGGTGAGTCCCGACATCTTCCCTGTGGATCCGATCCGCTTCAGTTGATCTATGATCTCATCTGAGGATCGTTAACGAAAGAGCGCAGCTGACAGATTATTCACTCTACCTGTTTCTGTTTATTTATTTAAACTAACTGATTCTGTAAAAAAAAGAAGTGAAACTGAGCCTAATCTTTTATGTCCTCAGTCCGGCTCCAGGTATGCTAACATGGATCAGCAGCGCTCTCCCTCAGCCAACACCCCCAACCAACCACAACCGAGCTAACGCCACTGCCAAGGTGAGGAGAAAATACCAACCCAGCATCAGGTCCTGCAGAGACCTTCACTGCGTCACAGTTAGCTGTAGCTGCTTTAATCTTTGCAAAACAGTAAAGCTGTAAAGCAGGTTTGTCTGTACGAGAAGTGGGTTAGGTGTTTCTTTTTATTTCGGTGCTATAAAATCCTGGATGATCAACAATTTCCTGCTATGTTCTCCTGATGCTTTCTGTTTCCTCTCTCTCATATCTGCTAACAGGAGGAAACTGCAGCAGCCAGGTATGAAAGAGGAATGAAACTGGGTTCTGGGTCCCTGATCCACAGTAGCATGGGGGGGAGGGGGTTGGTTTCAGCAGGTGTCTGTCCAGGTTAAAGCCAGCAAGTCTAAAGTGAAGGAGTTTAAAAAAAGATCAAATAAATGTTGAAGAACTAGACATGTGGATCTGGAATTAGTTTAATATCATGTTCTTATGTGTTCTGGCTCATTGTGGACCACAG